TTATACTTACAGTTGTCAAATTTTAATAAAATTGATTTTAAATGATAGTACACTCTTTGCCCTACTCGTACAATATATTTTTTAGCTGTGTGTTTCGCGTTTTAAATACTTAAAATCCCATAAAATGAGATGCTGCAAAGTACATATATGTTACACATAGCAGTCATATTTTTTGAGCGTTCTCGTCAATATTTTTTATAGTTACAGTTGTCAAATTTTAATAAAAATTATTTTAAATGATAGTACACTCTTTGCCCTACACGCACAATATATTTTTTAGCTGTGTGTTTCGCGTTTTAAATACTTAAAATCCCATAAAWGRAARTGCTGCAAARGATTAATCTTTCACACATAGCTTTCATATCTTTGGAACGTTCTCGTCAATATTTTTTATAGTTAAAGGGGTATAAATAAGTGTCTTGTATATGTTACTTTCAAAGACACGATGAAGAGCAAGCAGAAACTGTGCTTCGGTAAAGAATTCTATTGAACAGTGGACGTGCCACGCACGTCATTTATCTTTCTGTAACAATCGCCCAACGACGTGCGTAACACGTCGCTGGCTTTCCGGAAACAAAAGCATGTTGACGTTCGTGGCACGTCTTTCCACTGCAAGTGGTTAACGGGCATGTTTTTAAATGCGCCTAAAAGCTTAGTAGAACGCACAAAAATATTTCTTTTTCAATTTTATTTATAATTTTTGTAATATTACTATATATATATATATATATATATATATATATATTTATTGATTCTCAATATACGCGTTAATATTGAAAAGATAATAAAAGTTTATTATCTCTGAAATACAAATCTTGATAAATAGAGTTCTAGAATCATAATATCTTTTAATTGTTTATCGATCTTTATTAAAAAAAGAACTTAAATTACTCCGGTGGCTTTTCTGTATTGTCCAAAATGTTCCAAATATTGTTGTATCGTATCCATTGGTTGATAAATATCATTCATTCGATTCTGTAAGAAAAAAAATACATTTTTTGGGTATATTATTTGATTAATCAAAAGGATAATAAAATTTATACGTTTAATTTGAATGATTATAAAGAAAAGTAGAACAGTTTTGATATACCTGCAAATATTGAGGAGCTTGATTTGATACAGCAGAGCCTAGAAATCCTTGAAGAAACTCTCGTAGAAGTTCCCATGCACTTCCCGGAATGACACAGGGTCTATACTCGACCTACGGTTGAATCAAGGAAAAATCTTTATTACATATACGAAGAATGGTGTACTATATGTATTATATATCGACGGTCATGACACGTAATCGAAAATTTGGGAAGACCCAGCATGAATAGCGTGACGTATAAAATCTAATTGAAACTATTAAATTGATTGAGTCATGTCGTATTGCGATAAATTGGAAAGACTGGTCATAATTTAAGAATAAAGAGAACATTGCTGTATACTGATGTTATTAACAGTTCACGTAAGAACATATAATCCCAATTGATCGAATGAAAAAATGACTCAACGGTAAAACCCCGGGCGGAAGAAATTGTTTGGTCTAATCGGACTAGATCTTGGAAGTGTTATTTAGGATTTAAATAATCCTACAAAGAAGAAAATGAAAATCCATGAAGATGACAATTTTGTTTGCATCGTCGAAAGGTATATATAGGAAAAATGAAGTCCGCAACCCTCGGAGATGTACTCAAGTAGGGCACACTCGAAATACCAGTTAATGAGTTGATGGAACGTTAACGATTAAATGACACATCGGGTCGCTTCTTTTAAAGAGAAGAGAGTTTAGGTTTTATCTCTCTTGTTGGAACGATAGCTCGTTTCGATAACTCGTTCCCCGAGCACTGTTTCGCGGATGCATTGAAAATAAAGAGAAAAGGGAAGTAAGCTCGTTCCTCATTCGCTCGGTGGAAATAGCAAATGAAAAATGTATACGTTATTTTCACTATTCCTTTCTCTCTCTCTCTCTCTCTCTCTCTCTCTCTCTCTCTCTTTCCCTTTGTTTGTCCCTTGAGAAAAGAGAGCTGAAGAAAAAGAGTCCGGGACGAGGAAGTGAAAGCCTGCAAAAATCTAGGGCCCCAACTAAGGATGGAGACCAAAGGACTTTCTTCAATTGAAATTAATGGAAGAATGGTGGTTTATCGTAACGAATTCGACGTCATGATATGGTACAAACAAAAAAATGGTATGACGCAGTTACCGATACGAATAGTTTTATATATGTACGTCCTATGTAAAGAATAAGTTTATTATAGTTTTGTACGAATAAACGTACAAGAAGTTTGTAAAAACGATGAAAACGCGTATCGTAATAAACGTATCGAAAATGTAGTCATCGTGAATAGTAGTTCCGATTGTACACGAACGAGGAAAATCGCAAACTCTGACGCAACGGGCGACTAAATACGCGGAAAATTGTTGCGATTAATGATTTTCGAACGACCTGACGACGTATCTATTTAAAAGCATATATATATATTTTATACGAAATCGGCTTTACGTTTACGCGTAACGCCATCGATGAATAGTAACGCTCGAATAATACGACTATCGTTATTTAATGGCAGAATGGCGATTGTAATTATCTCCAATAGAAATGGACGTAAGGCTTAGATTTCGTGGTGTTTCAGGATGGGAACTACTGGGTTTGAAACGGTTATACGTATATACAAGAGTACAATCTGCGCGTGTAATTCGTGTGCATTGCAAGCTCTCTCTCTATTCGTATCGTTTCTCCCCCTTCTCCCTCCTCAGCCCCGCCACCAGAAGAGCGAGATACTGTCAATCGATAATACAGAATAGTCACGTGATTGCCAAGGACCCCGGAAGTTGGAAATTCGCGACTTTTCTAATTTTTCTCTCGTTCACAATTAATACCATATATTAAACTCGGGATTTTCCTTTTAAATGATCTCTTTGTTTCTTTATGTTTTCTGTTTTCGTTATTTCGGAGTACAACGAAACTTGTCAAATGAATAATTAATCTGACCGGTCTGTCGAAAGTAGAGAAAAGTTGAGAAAAGTTGAGAAAATTTCTTAACGCTTAAAGACTCGTTGTATCTAAAAGAGAAGCAGGCCGATTAGACCGGGAAACAGCTGAGAACAGTCTCACGTAAGGTCGTTCCAAAGAAATCATTTACGAAGAGAGAATGATGTTTTTTGAAACTTACTTCGACAAGGATACCTTTGAAGTTCTGGCTCATGGTGACGCTGCCGAGTTTAACGCAAAAGTCTCCAATCTCGAAACGCGGCCCTTTCGATTCGATTTTAGTTTGTTTTTTACTCGTATAGATACTCGTCATCTTCATCATGAGAAGATCGAAGAGGCTATCCGCGATCAATGGCACTATCTTATTGCCGGACTCGAGAAGAGCGAAAACAGAGGCTGGTTGTTCCGAGTTGTGTAGCACGTGAACGGTTCTTTGAACACCTGTAAACATAAAGAATAAATATTGAACTTTTCTTACCTTTTTTTCTATTTTTTTTTTTTTTTTACAAAAGGTACTAATATAAAATCTAAATCGATAGACTGTGAGTAGTTAGAGGACGAGAGATATGGAAACAGCTGAGACATTGTAAATACCAGATAGATTCTTTACGGTAAACATCGTGGAAGATTGAACGCGGAAACGCATATTGAAATGCAGTCAAAGTTACATGATGTTCGTAGTTCGTTTAAACGTGTATCACATTGCTCCTATCAACACTAGTTCGGGCGCGTATACAGAGAACTTACAATAAACTCGAATCTAACTTGAACTTTGAACTTGTCTCTTAGAAGTTGTATCCTGTTCGTACGTTCTCGAGAAACGTATGCGAATCCATACGAAAGAAAACTACCGAAATCGTTTATTCTCGATTGAAAAGGGTTCGTTTTCTTTCTGAGTGTTATGTGCGTGTGTGTGTTTTCTTTCAGGCAAAAAGATTTTCAAAAAAAAAAAAGCATAGGAAACAAAGTACGTAAATCGTGTATGCTCGGACGGTTGAAATATTCTTCGTGGTTGTACGCGTATATATCGTGGTATACCGCGAGCATATTTTTTATCGACAATTATTCGATTAAAAAACATCCAGATATAAGATATGTCGCAATTTCGTTGAATGTGCGTGCGCGGATATTCCGAATCTCGTCGTATCGGATTTAAATCATCAGTCCTGGATGAAATTATTAATTAGTAAATATTCAGGAATGATTATCGATAGATGGGGATTTATTTTTATACTAGTATATACCTACTCATTTGTTTTGTACAAAAATATAATGAACATTTGTTATTTTTCCTTTTTTTTTTAATTTTTATCGAAAGATATAATGAGAACGAGTAATTTGAATAATCGAACATTTTGACGGATATCGAATTCGTTCGGATATATGATAGAAATAATTAGTATCATCTACTCGACTAAATCGGGATGCTGTTGGTGGTTATTGGGAAAGGTTTAACGCATGATTCTTCGAAATATATGACGTGCGAAGTTCGCTGAATATTCATAATTCGTTGAGTATTTCACCTCTTTCTCTCTCTCTCTCTCTCTCTCTCCCTCTCTCTGTACCTCTGTTATTCCGTACATCGTCCACATAATAGCGGGCTTATACAGTTTCCGGTTTGACCGATGCACCATGAATTATTTACGCGTCGCTGTTATAACCGGCTGTCCTCGCGACCACGTCGAACGACAAAATTCCTTAATTGCGGGCTCGCATCGCGTGCTCTCACGCACTCATTTTCGATCTCTCGGTAACGTTATTTATCGTTCATTGACAACTTTAGTAATGAACTTTTCATAATAATAAATTAATACGAGTGCGGGGTGTGCACGAAGAATGTGATGTACGGGGAACGCCTTGCTCGCGTTGCTGCAAATAAATCCAAAAAAATTGCCATTCCTGATAAATCGTGAAAATTGGATTTCTCGACGCGAACGCACCGATTGCATCTTGTTCGTTCGTTCGTTCCTAGAAACTCGATAAAAAGTATAATATCGCACATGTAAAACGTGGTTTCTGTATAATATTATATAACGAGATTATCGGTCGGTAGAGTTTTTATCAAATTTCAGGACGTTATGGAAAAGTAATCGAAAATAGTCAAGAAAACAATGTTATTATTTTTAACGCGTTGACTGCCATGGGAGTCCACCGGTGAACCCCGCCACGGAAAATGCATTAAACACCATTATGCAACTTACCTTGCCTATTGTAAATAATATTTTAACATAATATGCAAATTGCATGATAAAAAATTCACATTGGTTCCATGGGCAAATCACGTGAAATACGCGCGATAGTCAAAGTGTAAATGATTATTTCGAAAAGCTTTTAATAGTAAAATTTAACTCGACAATTTGGGCGTTATCTTTTTTTAAGTCTCGAGAATATCGAGCTGGAAAGTATAATAGGTATAATATATAATGCTTTTGGCAAGGAGAGATAAGTAGTACACCTATTTCCGCACGCAGTTCGTTCGCTTTGACCCGTATTCGCGTATTTGCTCGAGGGAAAACAATGAGGCTACATAAGCTCTTTCCCAACGGATGAATCGAGATTAACGAAGAGGCTGATTAGTGTACCTCTCATCCTTTTCCATCATTTCTCCCAGTTGGTAGAAGTTTCTTCTCCCCTTCGCGACCGTGTACAATTGGTTGAACGTAGAGGGCGGTTTTCCCGGGCCGTGATGATCTGGTGCTGTAGACACAGCAGCAGCAGCAACAGCAGTTTACACCAGCGATCATACGGCCCTGTGACGCGCCGCATGCCGCATACCGCATTGTCTGCATCGCACGTATGCGCGTTCTGTGTTACACGGATGCGCTCTCGTGCGGAGGCCGCCGCAAACGATGCGAAAGCACCCACAATCTCTCCCGCTCGTCTCACTTTCTTCGAGCTTTAAGGGCTGGAAGGACGAACCTGACCTGGTCAACTTTTAACACGTTCCCTGCCATGCTGTTTACGAAGATACATGTCATTTTTAGGCCACGTGTGCCGTTTTCGGTATACGGTAACGAGTTTAATCATTTTCTATAAATACCTGTTGTTTTTTTTCTTCTTTTTCACAGAGAATATATATTATTTTCATAATTGTAAATATTAAAACGACAAAATGCGCAAAATAACACTAGTCAATTGAATTTATTTCACTTTGAATAATTGAAACAAAAGTTATGTACAAAAGTGAATACGAAATAGAAAGTATGTCCAATATTTCACTTATATTTTCATGTAGCGATGAATTTTGTTACAACAATCAATGCATAAGTATGGCTTTTTAGGGCAATCATTATAAAAGGTTGTCATTCTTTTTGTGGTATTTCGCACAGTTTCACTATTATAATTTACACATAACTAATTACCACACCGCGTGTACGGATATCGGTACACGACTCAAAAATTACTGTAAACATCATTAAGTCAAGTGTTACTAGCAATTATTTTTAGAAGGATACATCTCAAACTAGAAAATTCAGCTTGATGTACAAATGTATTTTAGCGTGTACCGAAAATGGTCCACGTGGCAGGAAACGTGTTAATATCGATTGCATTTCCTCCTAAAAACCTTAAAAACTGCTTTACTATCCTTGTCTTTGTTTTCTGGTTTTAAATCAATATTTAATTTCTTTAAAAGTGTATTAACTTCGTCTTTCTTGAAATTCATAATGCAATCGAATACGTTATAAATTGTATTTAGCATATACATACAGAACGACCCTTTATTATCTGGTTCCTTTTGCTTGCTACATTTCTTCGTGTTTCGATTAAAGAAAGATTCGTCCTATAATATGTTCATAAATTTAACAACATATATTTTGAAGTTTTTTGTGAAGATTTCGGAAAATTGTTTAAAAGCCAACAGATCTTTTGCTTGGATCTACTCTGTCTTCACCCATGGGTCCATCGTCATCAGGATACATTGCGATAATGACGTTGTTTCCTTATCTCCGTTGAACAGTTAGCCTTTCCAATTGTCTCGATTGTTTGATTTCAATCCCTGGTATCGGTTGATTCGAATCGACTGATTACTCGTCTAATGAAATGTCCTTGCATATTTTTTTCTTATCATCTACGAACGATCAAACAGTGGTTGTTACTGGCAAATACGCGCGTTGTCTTTCTGTTTCAATACGAAAGAAAAGATCGACGTGTAGGGCTGTTGTTTTTTTTTTGGATTCCTACTTTTCCTTTCGTTTATTGCGAAAGGGAGACGCTCGATAGAGGCAATATTCGTGGGGGCCTTTTATCGCGACACGTAGCACGTCCACGCTTCAGCCCATTAATTACGACTCACGTCAACCCCGACGCGTCGAGATTGCACCTGTTTTTGTACAACGACGAGAGATATATTCAACTCCGGGTCGACGCAATTTTGTTTTCTGCCCACGGTTGAATCACCGCCGCGTAGAACAACTCGTGAGTATAATACTATCGATCAGAGAAATGTTATTAATGAAGCGTTAGCGTAGTGTACCAATCTACGATCGAGTCTTATTTTCCATTATCGATGTGTGAATCGATTAAATTCAATTAAACGGATTTTAATTTGTCCTAGTCGTGTTATAATTTAACTTGTCAAATCTTGAATAATAGACGAGACCAAAGAAGAAGAGGGAGAAGATAAAGTAGAAAGATTTATTTTTTCTCGCTTTTCCAAAAAGTATATTTTCTCTACTTTTACCCTTCCTTCCTTTCTTCCTTCCTTCCTTCCTTCCTTCCTTCTTTCTCGCCTAACTTCTTTCTCGCCTAACTTCTTTCTCGCCTAACTGACGTTTCTATCGAGGTGCAACCAGTAATAACTTGAGTTTCCGATGATGACGGCCGATCGATCAAAGTGTCATCCCTTGTATTCGTTCGATTTCCGACACCCGAGGAACAATCGTGACGCGACAACCGTCAACTCCGATCTTACGAACCTAAGGGCCTTCCCATTCTCATTTTGCTTTCATAGCTCGTAGAAATACGCGAATGATCGAGAACTGAATTTAATTCCGTATAATTATAATTTCCTTGTTGAATAAATGATATAATATAACGTTACAGGACAGGTTGTCGTGTTTATTTAATCTTTTCGTTACTACTATTACGTTGTAAGACTTCGAATCTCATCTGTCAGAGAAATCAAGAGGCATACTTAAAAGATTCAAAGACCTTTTTTGTCAGGGGCTTCTTAACGTGGCATTGTTCTACAAAAGTTAAGGACGTAAAGTTAAGGTCGGAAATCGATAATTAATTGGCCGTTCAATGGTCGGAAAAGAAATATTCGACGAGATTTGCGATCGCTTTATTAAAAGTACCAGCTGTTGCCAGGCCACGAAGGGTTAGCTTCGTCGCGGAAGTTTATAAACTCAAGGTATTCTTATATTCTTTAAGAAGGGAGCAATATATATATGGTATAGGGTTAGATTTGATCCTTAGAATGACGATGATTTTTCGACAAATTATTATGGGGTACTAGAGAAATGTCGGATCCTCTTTTATTCGAGGACATTCCAGAGTAATCGATCCACTCTTCTTTTATAGACAGAACGTGCCAAACGGTTCTTCATAATCGTGACAAATTGAAATTTGATATATCTACATACCCATACACATCGTAATAGGTATATCGATCGAGTGAGAAAGAATACGAAGAGGAAGAATGAGTACCAAATGAATTCTCGATACGTTTCGTTTAAACCCATCAAACGGGAATATTTGATTTTTTAGGGAAAAAGAAGGAGAAAAAAAATGAAAAAAGAGATGTCACAGTAGTTACTCTTCCACCGTGTTTCTTATACCCTAGTCGACCATGATTTCGGCCAAGTGAGGCTAACTTAGTCAATCTTGGAATTCTATTATACTTTGTCGGAGGAGCCCTGCTTTATTTGAAAACTTCACGAAGGAAGAAGGATCCGGCGGGAGACCCAACATCAGACTGGCTGGGTCCTTATTGTTGAGCAATTTGTTTCCCATTCAAGTTACGATTGAGGTTAGCTCAGGGGACAGAAAGAGAAAAAAAAAGAAGATGAAAAAAAAATATCAAAATAGGAGCATGTTAGGGTAGCTCACAATCAGTATCCCTCCCCCGTTTTTCCCCTGAACCGGTTTTTATCGGAATAAAATTTGATCTCTGTCAAAGGTTAACCACAGAAACCAAACGTATTTCTCGCTTAATCCCACTTCTCGAACGACCCATCCTGGTAATTATCGAACAATTGGAATCGTTCTTTTGCGGGGGGATAACTAGCGATGAATTAAATCCTATCGAGGAAACTGAAGGAAAAAAAAACAAAAGAAAAGCTAGAGAAAAAACAATTCGACGATCCTTCTTTCTAACTATAATACAAAACAAAAGTAAATGAAGATTCCTATCTACCATTTTACAAACCAAAAAGATAGCTCGTAAAATATAATCCTTGCGCAACTAACCTACGTTAAGGATAGAATGTTGGTTGGCGGTGGTGGTGGTGGTGGTGGTGGTGGTGGTGGTGGTGGTGGTGGTGGTGGTGGGAGGAGAAGGGGTTAAACTTGTTGTCCCCTCTCTCTTATTTCGGTGACAGCTGAAAGGGGAGAGATGCGTGAGCACGCACACGGCAGGTGTGCATGTGCTTGCTTGCTTGCTTGTTTGCTTGGTAGCGCGCGCGTGCACGTCCCTACCAAGAAGGAGGAATAGGGTTCGAAGGAAGCAAGGGTTAGAGGCACGCGCGCGAGGGCTCTCCAAACGATCCATCTAATATATTTCCCTCTTCGTCTGGTTCCTGGGGACTCGTAGGAGAAAGACAGAGAAATAGGTAGAGATAGATGGAGAGCGGGATGGAGAGTGGGATGGAGAGTGGGATGGAGAGAGAGAGAGAGAGAGACAGAGAGAGAGAGAGAGAGAGAGAGAGAGAAATCCGTAGGAAGGATGGGACAGAGCTTTGCGCAGGGGGTTTTCGTGCGCGATGCCACCAGCCAACCGACGCTAGTATCTAGGGGGTTGTTCTCTCCCTCTCAGTTGGCCGCGATTCAGCAACGGGTCTATGCGTCCGTCCCGATCGCAAACGGGCAGAAACAGAACCGGCGAGAGATAACGCGAAAGCTTTATAAAAGGCAAAAACTTTCTCTCTTTTTCCTACCATTTTTTTTCTTTTTCTTTTCTTTTCTTTTCATTTACCTCTTTAGGATTCCGTTCTTTCTTTTATATATATATTTGTTTGAGAAAGAGAGAGAAAGAAACGTTTATTGTCATTCGCGTTCGACATCAGGGAATTTGTTTAGTGGTCTCTTTTAGAGGATGCTTTTTTTTACCAAAGAAGAAGAAGATGAAGACAAGTTTAGTGAAAAGAATGATACATTATTTACGATTATATTCTACGTTTATGGCTTAACATTGGAAAAAACAAAGTTATGCTAAAGTCTCGTCATGTTCATCGGAGGAAAATAGAAATATATGCGAGTTGGATTTCAAAAAATAGAGAAATGAAGTGCGTCGTTTCGAAGAGGAACATTTTCAATGGATAATTATTGTTATTAAATATGTTGCTACTACGTTATGATTATCTTGAGATTTCTAAAAAACATCGAGTATGAAAGTTCGACTCTATGAATCCTATGAAAAGGATATTTCCATGAAAGATTCGATTTGTCGAGCTTGCGATAGACGATAAAGAGAGAAAGAGAGATAGAAAGAGAGAGAGAGAGAGGTGGGTGGGTCGTCGGTTGAAAGTTTCATCGAATTTGGTACGGTCTATCGAATGCGTAAGAACGCTTATGGACGAAGGAAAACGAGTGGACAGGTTTTTAAAGCGAGAAAGAAGTAGAAGAAGGGGAAGGAGGAAAGTTAAGAGGAAAGTAAGCAAGAAACGGGGGAAGAAGGAAAGAGTTTAAAGTTCCCGAGCATCCTAATCCTTTCTAAGGGGGTATTGTCGATTAAACATCGAACAAGATATCTACTTAGTCAATGTATATTAAAATACTACAAGAAAATATGAAAATAAAAGTCAAACCGAGACCACCGGATCGGATCGAATCGGATTGGATCGAATCGGATTGGATCGAATCGGATTGGATCGAATCGGATTGGATCGGATCTGTCTTTTTTGTTTAGGATTTCATTCTTTCTTTCGATGTTTTGTTTACGTTGAAAGCGCGGTTTTCTTGCTCGAGGCCGTATATATGTAACCATTTAAGCAGCGAGATCGCAATTAATGTCAGTCGAGTTCTCGTCTCCGTCTTCTTTATGCATTTCAAAAAGTTGCTACATTATCTCTATTCAGAATAGAAAAGCCAATTCTCACCTTACCGAACGTATAATATAGGTTCTTTAGGTGATAAAAAGGACAGAAAGAAAAACTTTGATTTCTTTGTTTTGGGTGCCATTGCCATTCCTATTTGATTTTTATCGGTTTCTATATCCTACAGGGATTATCTATGTACATATACAATTGAAGTATAAGTCGCAGTGTAATATAATCATCGTTCGTATATAACTTAAGAATGATCAATGTTAACGAGAATACCCGTTTAGCGTATTAAGATTGAGGATTACCACGGGGACCATAATTATTTCAAAAGGATTCGTCGTGAGTTTGATTAGAATCTATGAGTTTCCTCGCACGCGAACGAAAGGAAGAAGGGAAAATTCATTTAACGAAGTCACAACTTGTCCGATCGCTAAGACCGACCTTCTTCTCCTTCTTCTTCTCTCTGCTGCTACTTCCTCAATGGAAAAAGGAACGATGCCTTCGATTTGCATACGAATGCATTAAAGCACGATGATGGATTGAGGTATAGAGAGGAAACGATAACGGAATAAAACGAAGATTAAATAAAATGTAAGTAGAGTTAGTGAGTGAAAAAGAGATGAGAGATGTAATCAAGAAGAATCGTAAAATGGAATCGTGAATGCGAAATTCAATGTGCACGTTGTGCGTTATTTTGTATAAATACTTCGTTAGGATATTGAAAATACAGACAAGACGTATTAATATACTTTCATCTTACCATTTGATAATAATCACGAAAGTTTTTTCCAACTTGTCAAGTGTCCAACTCACCGAAGAAACTTGGACGTAGTTTGTAACGTAGGGAAATAAGAAACTCGCCGATCGACGGAATTTATTTCGAGCGATTTAATGCTCGCACGAAAAGGTTATTAACCGAGATGGAAGAGTCAGAGTATTAGGAAAAAGTGGGAAGAATACGTCTGCGTCCTAGAGTCACCTTTTCCCGGCACCTCCTCGTTTCACGTTCCACGGTCGATCGATAAATTTAATCTGCACTCGAGTCGACTATCCCTCTCTCTTTCCCTCTCTCTTACTCTCTCGCTCTCTCTCTATCTTTCTCTCTCTCTTACTCTCTCTCTCTCTCTCTCTCTCTCTCTCTCTCTCTCTCTCCCTCTCTCTCTCTCCCTCTCTCTCTCTTATTCTCTATTTGCATTAATTCGCATCCGCATATCTTTTCTCTCTCTCTCGGGTATCCTTCATTTTCATGGACAGACAATTAGCACGGTTAAAATATCTTCATTCTTGCTTTTGCGATCGTTGTCCTTTAAAGTTTTATCCCAAATGATTTCCCCCCTCTCCCCCTTTCCCAACTTCTATGTAAATTGAATCTTCGGAACGATAGAGAAAATTCAAACCTATCAATTTTACATCTTATTTGTTTTTATTTGAAGAAGAAACGTAAAGAAATGGGTGCTTGCTTAGTTGCTTGTTAACGTTCGTAAATGTTCTTTTTAACGGGGTCACGTGTGAAAACGTACGAATAGATGCAAGAAGGAAGGACAATAATGCCTCTGGTAATTCTCTCCGTCGGCAAAGGGATGAGAAAAGGGCGTGCTCGCATTTCGTTTACAACTCCAAGCCGATGCAAATTGCTGCAATAGATTGCACGTAAAATTTAGGGAGTCGAATGAAAGCGTCGTTACACGCGATACATTTTTTTATTATTTTCTTTTTGTTTAACTTTAACCGATCAAATGAATACGATCGTTTTATCATTCGTTATTTTTCTCTCCTCGAAATATACCTATATAATTCGCGAAAAAGGTTATGCATAAACTATTTTTGCGATTCGTCGAATTTCAATCGCAAGTTTAAGGAGAAAGAGAGAGAGAAACGGGTCAATGAGAGCGAGAGAGAGAGAGAGAGGGAGAGAGAGAGAGAGAGAGATCATCCTCTAATTTTTTTCTTCTTCTTCTTCTTCTTCTTCTTCTTCTTTTTTGTCCTTTTTCCCCCGTAAGAACGCGAACGACGAGGACTTAAAGAGACACTCGGCTACCCACCGAGGGAAGATCAAAACTTTTTTACTCCGGCGACGTCTCGTAATTTATTCTCGCGCAAACGACAGGGATACTTTGTAGAAGCTGCCATCGTATGTAAAAGCAAACCTTCGCCCGATCCTCTCTCTCTCTCTCTCTCTCTCTTTCTTTCATATTTTCCCATCTATTCTAGGTCATTACAAATCCCGCAAACAAGCCGAGACAAATTATCTTCCTCCCTTTAAAAGCCCTTTTTCTTATGTTCTACTTTCTCTCTCTCTCTCTCTCTCTCTCTCTCTCTCTCTCTCTCTCTCTCTCTCTCTTTCTTCTTGATTACTTTTACGATCTAATTTTGATTTGCATTTTTTTCCAAGACGGTAAGGGAAAAAAAACATTGAATTTGGTTGAACGATGGAGATTTGTCTCGACGTATCCTTTGATATTAATGGTGAGCTCTGAGCTTGCTGGTAATCGTCGTCCTCGTCGTAGAAAACGTTCCTCGGCCGTTGACGTTCACGTGAAAAATACGAGTGCCTCCTACGCGTTCTCGGCGGGCTCTACTTTGCGTGATTTAATGTCGGTCGTCGAAGTTGCACAAGGGGGATTCGTAGAACTACGCAGAGTGCAACGTTTCCTTTCGATTATTTTCTTACCTACCTATCTATCTATCTATCTATCTACCTATCTATCTACCTACTTACCTACCTACCTACCTACCTACCTACCTACCTATCTATCTAGCTTACCTAAATCGCTAATCGAAAAGACGAAACATTCATTCTAAACGATAATTAGGAGAAATTGGATCGAATTAATGGCCGTGCAGCTGACTCGCGTTTGAGATATCACCGTGACTTGCGAGTATAGATAGACTTTGGTGGTGGTGACCCGATATCGGCAGCCAGAACGACTCCCGATATTGGCACCACCTCGGATCTCTTCCAAACGAAGAACAATAGAGGTAGCAGCATACTTTCCCTCTCTCTTTATCCTTTTTCTTCTTCTTACTTTTATCGAGGTCGAGGAGTCCTTGTTTCGCGAAGAAAATGTTAGCGTGCTTGAGGCATCGCAAAAAAAGAAAAGAGAAAAGAAAATTCTTCTAGGGACAATTCTTTGATACATTAGGTCTACCGGAAAGTTCTGTCCGGTTTTAGAATAAAACTAAGTAATAAGTTTTCTTTCATTTTTTTTTTTCTTCTTTTTTTAGTAAAAGTTTATTTTTAATTGGTCGCGTTAACAATGAAGTCATACTGGTATTGACAATATGATTATCCGATGATTAAACAATACATTGTTATTCGTTTTACTAGAAATTCAGTAAATTTATCTATTTAAAAAAAGAGTAATACGTTTCGGATGTTGTTACTTTCATTCAAATTACTTCGTAATCTTCTTTAATTCGGTGTTGATTTCTATTGCTAATGTATTTGTTGCAGTAAAGTAAAATATGTTCGATGCTGTTTGGAGTATTGTAAGTTTCACATTTGAATGGCGTTCGCTTAGAGAGTAAATATTCGTGTGTTAGTTTCGTGTGCCTGATACGAATATGGATGACAACTACTTGATTTCTTTTATTTAGCATTGACATTTTGGGCATCTCCTCTCGACACTCAATCTTATTTTGTGAAGTTTTGTTTCGCTACTGTATAATAATAAATTGTTCATACCTAGAATAAACTTTATTGAATAATATAATAGCCATCATTAATTTTTATGACTTGTTACTAACGTGATGATACAATTTGTATTATCCTATTTTTTAAAAATGTCTTATTCCTGGAGACGAGAAAATGAAATACCAGTGTTCGTTTGAACGAACAGAACTTTACGGTAGATCTAATATTTTCGTAGGAAAAGTAAGAAGAAAAAATTGATATGCGACTCTAATCGACATAAATATTATATTCACCGTGGTATCTATTATTTCCTTTGTGTCTTGGAATATGTTATTCTAACGAGAAAAGAGACAGAGAGGGAGAGATAGCAGAGGTTGAAATTTTTTCACAGTCGTCGTCGTAGTCGTAGTCGTAGTCGTTGCTGCTAATGGACGGGTGGTACGTTTTTATAAGCAAGGCTAAAAGCTCCGAACCATAAAAGTGACGTTTTGCATGCACGCTGTTTATTCTTGTGCACCGTTTCTGTCCGTCGTACCCACCCACGATAAGCTTCGAGAGAGAACGAACGAACGAATGAACTAACAGAGAGAAAAGTCATGCTCGAGAAAGTACGTTAGAGAATCGTGTTCAGGGACATCGATTAACGGCGAATAGTCACAAGCCGTTAAATTTGTTGGTAGTATAGAGTTATCGTTATATTTATGGTGGCCATCGATGCGAACCAGAATGAAATATTCTCGCGGCTAATAGATCGTTCGATATGACGAATTTGAACGCCAGTTAACGTTGTTTTCGTCGTGTACTACACGATCGTTAACGCGCACACACTTTAGATATAGAATGATTCGTGGAAAAAAATGTTTTTATTTCTCGTTCGACGTGCCACGAAATAGATGGTGCGTGAGATCTATTTTTCGGGATAGAAAACGAAGGATTATGCTTAACGTTTATATATATATATATTCATTGACACGGCATTAATTAATCGTTATCTTTGATTTAAAAGTATTAGAATTTTTTAATCAAGTTATACTTTTTACGTGACGGTAACGATCAAATTTTATCAAACGACATGAAAAGAGAGGGAGCATAATGGTAGGGAGAGAGACAGTGAAATAGAACCTTTAGACGATCGACAGTTCAACGAGATTATAGAAGGTTTTAATATTAGTGTGTGTGTGTGTATTAGAATCAATTTATATACCAATTAAAGTAAGAATAAGTAGATTTGTTTATACATGAAATATATTCGTAATATTAAACTATTTTGATCTGATATTTTATTAGATGAATATTTTTCCAATTCAAAGTCATCACTGGCCAGGAACGTTAAAACAATTATATTTTAGTTTAAACAATCGAAAAATATTAGTAGAGTACATTATTGCGTCCGACACACCTTAAACGATTGTTAATTAATCGAAATAAATGTATATTATTATTTTAACCATGCCAGTAATGATTTTGAGTTAAAAATTTTCATTTAATAAAATATGTAATTTTGAAACACATATACTTTGTATTATTATTACTTTAACAGGTATTAAATTGATTCTGACATTAAAAAAAATTAAGAAAAAACAGTAAAAACAAAGGATGAACAATCCATTGTTAGACATAAAAAACCAGGTATTCTCCCTGTTATATGATTTTAATATACGGACGTTTTCTGTACATTATTTTTGTATTGCTTTAATTCACTCGTTATAAATAAAGCTTTCAAGTTAAACTCATTAAATATATTATAATCAATGTATAATAATGTGTATTTATTTTTCAATTTTGTTCATCCTAAACACATTATATATCAATAATTTTCAATGAGAGATCTAGTAAACGTAACGGCGTATGATTTTAAGTAACATCCATCGTAAACACGATTGAATTATTTACCACACGATACGCACACGAGTTTCATTTCTATCGCGTTGGTCGAAGCAACGAACATTCTTTTTTATTGTTTATTTCTTTTCAAACTAATATTCTCACTCTTTATATATAAATATATAGTAGAGTACAAGTTAGTTGGTGAACGTTGTGTCAGAAGCATTTGAAAGCAATCGCATTCGCGGTTCCACGAACGTGCAATAATCTTATCGGATATGATAATCCTAAAACGGAGAAGCTTTTCGCAGGAACGTTTTATCGGATCTTCGATGAGACAGACAGACCTCGAAGGTTTGACGAGGTTCTTTTTCGGTGAGGTGAAGTGAAGAGAGGAGAGAAGAAGACGACAAAAATGAAGAGAGAAAAAGAGAGAGAGAGAGAGAGAGAGAAAGAGAGAGAAAGAGAGAGAAAGAGAGAGAAAGAGAGAGAGGTGGTACGCGTTAGAAACTGCTAGAGACTGAAGGCGACAATAACCAAAAGACTAGAGTTAAGTGCAACTTTGACAATAAATAACCCAAGGCTGATACTAGAAGGAAAAAGAGGATACTACTGGGTACGTCGTTGCCTATGGGATCTTGATGTCTACTACACGGGTAAAGGGGACTTTGCACGTACACCTACGTAAATCGCATAGCTCTTCCCGACGATAAAGAACCAAACAGGGTTTTCTCGTTCGAAAAAAAATAAACGATGTTCTCTATACACTCTCGATGGTAATACAACATTTTTTTTTCTTTCCCAAAGAAGGGGACCCAGAGTTTATTCTAGGAGAATTGATAACAACCAACCAACCAACCAACCAACAAACCAACCAACCATCTGAGAAAAGTATCCAAGAAATCTCGCATAAACTAAATCTTTGAAAATTCGTACGAATCTTTGTACGAATTTTTAGAAACTTATCAAGAAATAAAAAGAGAGAGAGAGAGAGAGAGAGAGAGAGAGAGAAAGAGAGAGAGAGAGAGAGAGGAGGGGGTCCAAAGGGAGAAGAGATGTCACTGAATCATAGATATTACGTGAGTATAGTTCCTTCAAATTTTTTAACACGTTCCCTGGCATGCTATTTACGAAGATACATATCATTTCTAGGCCACGTGTACCGTTTTCGGTACACGTTAACAAGTTTAATAATTTTCTATAAATACCTGTTTTTTTTCTTGTTTTTGAAACAGAATATATATTTTAGAATAATTGAAATAAGAGTTATGTACAAAAGTAAATACAAAATAAAAAGTATGTTTTATATTTGACTTATATTTTCATGTAGCGATGAATTTTGTTAAAACAATCAATGCATAAGTATGGCTTAATAGGACAATCATTAAAAAAGGTTGTCACCATTTATATGGTATTTCCCGCGTTTTCACTATTATAATTTACACATAACTACTTATCACGCCGCGTGTACGGTTATCGGTGCATAAGACGGTGTTACCAGCAGTTACTTTCAGGTGAAAACATCTGAAATGAAAAAATTTAGCTTGGCGTACAAATGCATTTTAGCGTGTGCCGAAAACGGTACACGTTGCAGAAAACGTGTTAAACAATTGTATCCCTTATCGTTAATTTTTATTCCTTTTGAAATCGATATGTTATATTATTGTCATAAGAAAGAAAACGAATAACGTATCACGAGAATTTTATTATCGTGACTGGGGAGAGGAGAGAGGGGGGAGATTGTTGGGGAACAAAAATATATGTAATTGGAATTTCATGCCCATGACCGTTGCAGGAGCATCGTTCAGACTGGAATAATATTTTATGTAAGAGTATCTAAAAAAATGTTTTTTTTTGGTATACAGAGTAAATCGCGGATTGATAGCGTCACTGTTATTTTCATCTCTGTGTAAGCAGAACTTTTTAGTTACGATATTCTCTCTCTCTCTCTCTCTCTCTCTCTCTCTCTATTTCTCTCTCTCTCTCTCTCTCTCTCTTTCTCTCTCTCTCTTTCTCTTGCTTTTCCTCTTTCTCTTGCTTTTCCTCTTTCTCCTGTCGAGAGGAGTACTTGTCGTCGAGCGCTCGGCCAACTTTAAAGTCGGTTAGTGGGTTGAAACCATCCCGAAAGTGAAAGATAAACGTTAAAGTAGAATCTAACGGAAAACATGATGATGATCATCGTTACGACGGGATAGTCTTGACGTTCAACGAACGATTTCGAAACTTTCTTCTAACGTCGCCCAAAATTATTGCCTTTTCAATTATCATCTTTTGCCTTTGATTTTAATGAACCTTTTTGAAAGGGGAAAATAAATAAAGCATAGACTTATTATTTAAAGTATAGCTTTATTATTTTAATTATTAATATAATCATTAAATCATCTTTGCCGAGTTTAATAAACTTTTCTAAAGGGGAAAATAAATAAAGTATAGGATAACTTTGTCATAACTAATAAGTATTAATATAAATCGTTAAATATACAACTTCGGGAAGTTGTATCAGAGTTGTTAACCTTTAACGTTATCGTTCTTGCCACTCTTAAAAGTAAAGTTATTCCAATGAAGTTCCCCTTTCATCCATGCATCAAACTCGTCGATTTTCCCTTTTGATGAGAGTTCACTTTTTTTTTTTTATTAATAGAGGAATATATAATTAAATCTGATAGCCGAGAATTATAAGATCATTTTTTGCTGACGTGATTACATTGACACATGAGTTGTTACAAATAATATTACAAAGTTAAGTGTAAACGGATATATTCTAACTGTTGCAAAATAATCATATTATCATTTAAGAAAAATCTTATTTCTAGGTTGTAAGGGGGGGGGGGGTAGAAGAACCTTTTCTAGTCTACGTACTAAATTAGAGTTTTCCAGTAAATTATTAGTTAGAAGAGTTTCGGATGGCTTGCTAAATGATTTTTGTAGCGTTCACTGACGATGAAAGTTCATAAAAGAAAAAGTGCAAACTAACGATTTAACACGTTCATCGTCGTTCACTGTAATTCGGTTGACATTTTTTTTTTTTCGTTGGGCGAGAACGCAAATTGACCGACGTAATGTTTTATCCTAAATATAAATTAACAATAAATATAACATATTTGTGTGTGTGCTATATTTTATTATATTTATATTTCAGTGTTTATTTCATTAACGATTCTATTTAAAATATTTCAGTTTAAAATTCTATTTAATACGAACACGAAAAACGTTACCCATAGTTGCTGGGTAATTGGGCCTTCCCCTCCCCCACACAAATATAGGTAACGTGGTTACGAACGTGTTAAAGAACAAATTTGAATCTCTCGATAAGTGTGTGGTTACTGTTCGCAGCTTCGAAAACCGGAATATCATAGATAAGCTAGGAATTCACGAGGTAAGCAAGAATATCGACCGTGTCATCATCATTCGAACGGATCTTCCTTTCCCTCTTCTTTCTCCTCTATTCATTTCCTTACCCCTTGTAACCCTATTTTCTGCAAAGTTAAGAGCGTTCTATCTTATGCCTTGAAAATGACGAAAGATATAGAGACATTCGGTACTTTGAGAGAGATACTCCTTTGATATTTTTTTTTTTTTTTTTTTTTTACATTTTATATACTTGCTTTTAACGAAATAATATATGCTCTCATAGGAGGGAAGGTGGGGCGTGGCATAGTAAAATCGTTCGCGCATTTTCGTATATAAATTATGTGTCATTTAATTAATCATCGTATATATCAATTTAAGCGAGAACTATTATTGAAGTCGCGCGAAACGGCATTGGGTGTTTTTTTTCTTTTTCTTTTGTTTTCTTTCTTTGACAAAAACGTGTAATTGCACATAAATAAATCCTTGTAACTTTGAACGGACTCGTTATCGTATAGAAGAAAAAAAGAAAAATGAAAAAACGAAAAATCTCGATTTCTCATAACTTTGAAGATCGCATCCAGTGTATCACAACCGGATTCAAGAAGTTAAAGGGGGATCGCATGACGTATCCCTCTATGGTGGACTAACTATCGACGGTTCTGTTAGTTACATCGATATTATTTATTGCAACAACTCGAGCGTAACCGATTCGCGTGGAAATCTTAAGCCGTTATACCGAGTCCTAGAGTGAAAGAATACGGAAAACCACCGTTCGAACGAGTACTTTTTCTTTTTCTTTATTTCGAACTTGTCTTCTCTACTTAATATCGATTATGAAAAAAGGAAAAAAAAATAGAATTTTAATAGATCGAAGATTTCGTACAAGTATTCCCCTCACCTCCCCGCACCAATTATCTTGCGAACGTGTTTTACCCATTGAAAAGAAACGTAAGTTCGATCTTTTAACGTGGATCAACTTTTGCGCGTTTATTTTCAAGCATTTATGTTAGGTCCGAATTCTGCGTCACGTGTACCCCATACGTTTTTCGCACACGTTTTTCGCACACGTTTTTCGCACACGTTTTTCGCACACGTGCGGTGCAGATCTCGAAAACTATATAACTCGGCGTGCCAATTCGAAAACGTTCCTTTCTTTTTTTGCCCTTTCTAGAAGATTTTTAAAACGTCCGAAATATTTTCTCTACTCCGTCGATCTTAACATATTCGACCACCGACGAAGAAAACTCTGACGATGTTTAAAATCGAAGGTTGCATTAGAAGTAATGAACGATTATCATTTTTTATCGCGCGTGTCTGTCTGCTTAGTGTTTTTACTTTTTTTTGTAATTTCATTTTATAATTTATCCTTTGACTGTTATGTCAAATACGTGTTTGTCAATATGAATGTAAAATAATGTAATGTTGGTTTGCGTATTGATTATTTTTTTGAGTCTTATTACATGAAAATTAAATATTAAGAAAAAAAGCATTAATTATTAAATATAATTTATTATTAGAATTTGTGTGGTTAATAATATCAATCAACGGAAACAGTCGTACTAATAATAAATTATTCCGTCCCTACAAAACACTTCAGCTAAAAGTATTCAGCACTCAAAGGGTTAATACACTGTATAATACACTTTAAAATCTTCAAAATCGAATGTCATTAACAGGATATTCAAAAATTGATCATTTTCAAGATTTATATATATAAAATATGTAGGATCTTTTTTATAAATTAAATTGTTTTTTTATTGACAACTGATATTTTATTCGAATGTTTACATGGGTGTTAACCCTTTAAACGAGGAATGGTTGAATAAAACGCATCTCATGAAAAAGGAGAACCAGAATTACGATGATTTCTACTCTTTCAGCAAATACAATATGATACGATTGAATTACACGAGTAAAGAAACATTTTTACTTCCTTTAAAATCGATTTATCTGGAGCGTATTAATCTGCTCGAAGTAAAACGATTATAATGAAAGAGTGTTTTAATATCAAACATTATTATCGATCATCGCGAGAGATTTCATTTCTATTATGGGTGGTAGAAGCGAATGTTGTTTGTGCATCGTTGCACGAAAGAGAGTTTTAAGTACCTTCAGCTTGTACGATGATAATATCGAAAAATAAATAGTTGATTTTCCTCTGTAACGAACCAACAACACCGATTTCGATCTCGTACCATCAGGTATGATATTTCAGAAAATGCATTAACGTTATATTTTTCAAGAAATATTTTTTTCTTTAAACTTTTGTCCACCCAATTTCTCACCTCTCTCTCTCTCTCTCTCTCTCTCTCTCTCTCTCTCTCTTTCTCTTTATCGAAAAAGAGGTCACGTTGGGAGTTTGCGCTAAGAAAGAATCGTAGGAATTTAAACGGGAGCTTACACGTTCCCGCATCGAAATAACGATCGTCCGAAGGGCCACTTGGAAGTTTAAAAGTACGCGACGGTTCTTTCTCCACTACAGCATTTGGAACAAAAGGTGTATTATCGTATCTTTCGAATGCTTCCTCGTCTGTCTTCTATATAAATTGCCGAAGATCGAATAGCGTTTCTTCTTTGTCGACCAGTCGCATCTGTTAGCTCCATTCCTTCTCCGAGGATTTAAACGTTATTACATTTTTCTTACGTCGATCTAATGAAACGTTCAATGAAATGCTACGAAAATTTATACGTTTCACGACTATTTCTATCGATTTAATTCTAATCGACT